CCCCCCCGCAGCCTCCGGGGCCAGGCGCTGTCCGGGGTCCTGACGGCTCCCCAGCCCGGCCCTCTCTCTGGGGAGAGGCTGCCGCGGGGCGGGAGGCTGGGGAGCGTCAGGACCCGGGACAGCGCCAGTGCACGGGCGGGACCGGGGTTTTTCTGAGCAGATCCTCCCCCGCAGGCTGCGGAGTGGGGCGAGACATCCTCCCCCCCAGGACCTGCCGCCCTACGAAACGAATACACATCCTAGCCGGGTGATGCGTCCAATATGCAGGAGCAGCTTGTGGCAGCCAGCAGCTGCCCTTTCCATAAATAACCGCTGAAGCCGGAGCGAGATTCTGTTCTGTGCTTAAAGCAAAGGTAGAGTCCATCCTCGCACTATATCCTGCATCTTAATGGATTAAAAATTCATCAGGCGCATTAGGTTCAGTAAAATACGAATGCCTCGCTTTAAATTTTAATCATTAATCAGAACAGGGAGACATGAGAGGCGACAGTGATTTCTCCCCGGATGTCTGCGCGGGTCAGGCTAGGAAAGGGGGCTCTGATTTTATTCAGGCAGTCCATTTGTGTGCGCAGCCTGCTGCAAGGCTAATGGCACTTGGAGGCTCGAGAGTGCAGCCTGGCACTTCCACCAGCAGCTTTGTCGCTGGTTTGGGACAGCTCCATTTCACAGCTGTCTGCGGCCAGGGGCCGGGGCCGGGGCCAGAGCCAGACAAAGAGGCCGGCATGTCCAGGAGCTCCCAATCTACCTCTGCGCGAGCCCCTTCCCCTCCCCTTCTTGGCTCGCCTTGTGACTTCGTTATCTTGCACTCGCTGCCAGTGTCAGTGCCAGCACCATCAGGCTCTCCCAGCTGGACTCTTACCTTTGCTTCTACCGTTCCCATTAAACTTTCTGCTCTCTCTCCCTCTCATCCTTGTTCCAGTGCTGTCCCTCCACAGAATGGCACCGGCCCGAAGAAGGGGAGCGGAGATCACTGAAGTGCTAGGTCCTCTGTGCTCTGAAGATGTTGGGATCCCGGGCACTACTGCCACGAGAAGGCGATTGCTGAACGGCGAGCAGGCACTGCGTGCGGTGTGTGCAGGAATCATCAGTTCCGTGCGCTGCTTTTCAATTGTCACGTTGGAGAAGGAAAGGCAGCCCGGAAACTTTGTAACGGGATTTTTTTTTTTTAGCAAATACAACCCGTTCTGTTTCCTGTGAAGCAGAGAATACAATGGTATGCACAGGAATCATTATACGAAAGTAACCACATTTAATGACAACCTGATAAATACCTTGTGGTGGAGAGGGGTCTTGAGAGTAAGCAGGGAAGACTGAAGACTGATCTAAATTTTAAAAAGAACAACAAAAAAGCAAAAAAAAAACCCCCAAAACACGAAGGGGGCGATGCACTCCTTGGAGACAGCTGGGTTTTAATCATTTCAGTGACTAAAAACAGCACCAGAGAAAGTTTGGCCAGTATTTTCGCCACCCTTCTCTTTAGGTCATGAATATATTTCAATGCCTTATTTACCATATGAAGTGGCGAAAAGTGTTTAGCATTTTGGAGATCAGTTGTCAGCTGCTATTAAAATCAAGATTAATTCATATTAACGATATGCATTCTCAATTCTCCCATGTGACAGCATACATTAAAACAACTACTGCAAGTAATTAAACTCAATACAGGGGGGGTAAACAGATTTCTAAAAGATTTTTAGCCTCAAAGTTCAGTTAGGAGTGAAGAATAAAATTTTTTTCCCTGTTAATAACGCTGATTTAAAACGTTGGCTTGCTTTAGACTTGAGGATTCATTGGGGATTGGGGGAAGGATGATATTTCCTTGCTAATTGTCCCCTTAAAACTCCTCGCAAACCCCAAATTAAATGTAAAGGGTTCTTGCTGCTTGGGAGGTTGGAGCTGGAAGAGAAGAATGGCAATAGGAAATGCAATGATCCAGGCGGATGAATGCAGAAGGGCATCCCCCTGCCAACTGCTTCTTGTCACTGGCACTCAACCCTTTCTTGTAAACTTTACACAATATGTAATGAAAAGGCAAAAATATTTTTAATGGATTTTTATTAGGCATTTGAGATGCTCGATAGTTTAGACTAATTAGAGCAGCCAAAAGCCTTTTGAAGATTAAGCAAATTGGACAACCCTTGTTAATTAGAACATAATTTAAAGTTTGAAATTATATCACTCATGAAGTAGCCTAATTAGTATGACGATATGTTAATAGCCTGCTGAGACACCAAGCACGGAGGTTTGGCACGAAATCCTTAAAGGCTTGCAAGAAAATCCTCTTTCCTATGTTGTCATTAATAAAAGATTTCTATAGACTTCAGCCTTTCAACGGTGAAACACAATTTATAGTACACACAATGCATTAGCCCATAGTACTGCTCAATTTTTTTTCTTTACCATTATGAAAACTAATAAATTCGTCAAGCTGAATTAAGCATACAAATCAGATGAGGCATAACAGATTACATATTGAAGCGCTGTCTCTCCCGAGCCTAAATGAAATTTCAATCTAATAATTCCTTCCTGGCCCGGCCATAATTTGTTTAGAGATGTTGTTCGACTTCTTTCCAAGCGCTGTTCGCGCCGTAATTAAATGATACTCAAGCTTTTAACTTTGATTTATTTCATTTCTCGGAGCTGGCGACAGTGAGAGCTGATACAATGTAATTTATATATATATATATTTTTCCCAAGGAAATTACACACACACACACACACACACACACACACACACACACACATATTTGTGTGTGTGTGTGTATATATATATATATGTTTCCTTGAAAATGACCGAGTCTACAGTTCAGGTGAGAAATGAAACACCTAAGCACTTATTGGAACTTCCTCGAGCAAACAAAAATCCATTGAAATCAACCCCCCTCCCCCGCCACCCCCAAATGTAGATAACACGGAGTTAATGAAGTAGTTTGTAACCAGGAATTTGGCAGCGGAGGGTTGCAAATGATCAAGCCCGACGGCGAGGGCAGCCGGGGCTCCGGCTGGTGCAGACCTGGGGAGGAGACCCTGCTGGCTGCTGGAGTTGGGTCAACCCCCCCTCCCCTCCTCCAGCTGCAGCTGGGAGGCGGTGGGGGAAGCCCCGCGGTCTCCAAAGGGGAGGCAAAGAGAGGAGGGGGCTCGGGGCCCCGGTCTCTCTGCCCGCAGCAGCTCCTGACCCCCTGCCGCAGGTTGCCTCCTCCCCTTCCCCTGGCCCCCTCCAGCACCGGCTCCCCGGGCGCTGGGGCTGCAGCTGCGGAGCGGCCGCAGACAAAGCTGGGAGCGCTGGGCCGGGCTGGGCCGGGCTGGGGCTGCCCCCTCTGCACGGGCGGGAGCCGCCGG